TGTGTGTGTGTGTGTGTGTGTGTGTGTGTGTGTGTTTTACAGCTGGCTCAGAGTGTGATTGAGCTCAACAACCAGATCCAGCAGAAGGACCGAGAGATCCAGAGTAACGAGGCCAGGTGAGACTACACACACACACACACACCTGAGCAAAGGTGATCACCTGCAGATTACCTGTGGTTCTGTTTCAGGATGTTGGAGTACCAGCAGCAGATCTCCAGCCTGGAGGGAGACTGCCGGGAGCTGAGGAACAGTCTTCAGGTACGTCCGCCTCACCTGGACCCTCAGGTGCTCTCACCTGATGAAGGTCAGTGATGAGGAGTAAAAGGTCTGATTTCCCACAATCCTCTGCTGCCTCTGGCTCCCAGCAGCTGCTCTCTGCTCCCATCATGCTCCAGTGATGCAGCCATGGGCCCAGCAGCTGCTGACACACAGGATGTGACATCACACAGGATGTGACATCACAGAGAGGCTGCTGTGAGAACCTGCAGCCTCTCTGTGATGATGATTGACATCCAACACAACCAATCAGCATGGAGCATAAAGAGGATTAGGAGGAGGAGGGAGCTGATCTCAAGTTTTCAACCTGAGACCTTCATCAGTTTTTAGCAGTCAGCTGACCTGATCATGTGACCGCAGAAACTTCCTGTGTGTGTTCACGTGAGCAGAGTAACTTCCTGTTCCCTGCAGGAGCTGGAGCAGGCCAATCAGACGCTGAAGGACGAGTATGACGCCCTGCAGATCACCTTCTCCGCTCTGGAGGAGAAACTGAGGAAGACCACGGAGGACAACCAGGAGCTGGTGTCCCGCTGGATGGCAGAGAAGGCTCAGGAGGCCAACCGACTGAACGCCGAGAACGAGAAGGACAGCAGGTGGGCGGAGCCTCAGTGGGAGCAGGTGGGCGGGGCGTCTGCTATGGGAGTCTCTGATGTGACGGCTGCTGTTTGTGTTCCAGGCGCCGACAGGCCAAGCTGCAGAAGGATTTAGCCGACGCCGCCAAAGAACCGCTGCCCATCGAGACGTCAGTGACTCCTCTGGGTTCTGTTTAATCTGGACCTGAGTCTGGGTCTGGGTCTGACTCGGTGTGTGTGTCCTCCTCAGGGACGACGACATTGAGGTGCTGGCTGAGGACGGAGGGAAGGGAGCAGGAGAGACCTCTCCCAACAGGCCGATGAACAGGACTCTCAGGTGAGTTCAGGTCTGGATGTTGCTCAGGTTGGTCCTGGATCAGTCCTGGATCGGTCCTGGGACCGATCCTATGTCAGACCTGAATCAGTCCTGGAATCGGTTCTGGATCATGAGATCGGTTCTGCACTATTATGGTATATGTCCTTGATCATCCTGGGGTTAACCTGAATCAGTCCTGGATTGGCTGTAGATCAGACCTGGAATCTGTCCTGGGATCGGACCTGGATCATCCTGGGATCTGTCCTGGGATTGGTCCTTGATCATCCTGGGATCGGACCTGCAACATCCTGTTGTTCAGTTCTTCATGTTGACTCAGGTCTTCCTCCTGAGTCCTTGTGGTCCTGCTGGTCCTGAACGTGTCCTTGTGTCTCACAGCAGGAAACAGTCTCAGCCTCCTGCTGGTCTRCTGGACTCCATCTCCAACATCTTCGGGTATGTGTCTGCTGGTCTCTTCAGGATCTACTTCAGCTCTTTGAAATTCTAATCTTTCTCAACTCTTGGTCTTCCTCAGCAGGCGTCGATCTACCAACTCCTTCAGCACGTCACCAGAGCCCACCGAGGCGCCGACAGGAGTGTGTGCAGAGGTCCGAGTGCCGTCCACAGCCCTGCATGTCTTTGTGAGTATTCAGTTGGTCCTCAGGTCCAGCACAGCTGCCGGTCTAACTGTGAGACCAGTTCCTCCACGGCTCTGAGGATTAGAGACGTCAGCTGGTCTGACCAGGTCTGTGTTTGTGTGGACAGGAAGCCCACGACGGGGAGGTGAACGCCGTGAGGTTCAGCCCTGGATCCCGCCTACTTGCAACGGGAGGGATGGACCGCAGGGTGAAGCTGTGGGAGGTGGTCGCAGGTGAGTGTTACACACACACACACACACACACACACACACACACACACACACACACCTTCCACTCTGATGAAGGTCAGTGATGAGGAGTAAAAGGTCTGATTTCCCACAATCCTCTGCTGCCTCTGGCTCCCAGCAGCTGCTCTCTGCTCCCATCATGCTCCAGTGATGCAGCCATGGGCCCAGCAGCTGCTGACACACAGGATGTGACATCACACAGGATGTGACATCACAGAGAGGCTGCTGTGAGAACCTGCAGCCTCTCTGTGATGATGATTGACATCCAACACAACCAATCAGCATGGAGCATAAAGAGGATTAGGAGGAGGAGGGAGCTGATCTCAAGTTTTCAACCTGAGACCTTCATCAGTTTTTAGCAGTCAGCTGACCTGATCATGTGACCGCAGAAACTTCCTGTGTGTGTTCACGTGAGCAGAGTAACTTCCTGTTCCCTGCAGGAGCTGGAGCAGGCCAATCAGACGCTGAAGGACGAGTATGACGCCCTGCAGATCACCTTCTCCGCTCTGGAGGAGAAACTGAGGAAGACCACGGAGGACAACCAGGAGCTGGTGTCCCGCTGGATGGCAGAGAAGGCTCAGGAGGCCAACCGACTGAACGCCGAGAACGAGAAGGACAGCAGGTGGGCGGAGCCTCAGTGGGAGCAGGTGGGCGGGGCGTCTGCTATGGGAGTCTCTGATGTGACGGCTGCTGTTTGTGTTCCAGGCGCCGACAGGCCAAGCTGCAGAAGGATTTAGCCGACGCCGCCAAAGAACCGCTGCCCATCGAGACGTCAGTGACTCCTCTGGGTTCTGTTTAATCTGGACCTGAGTCTGGGTCTGGGTCTGACTCTGGGTGTGTGTGTGTCCTCTTCAGGGACGATGACATTGAGGTGCTGGCTGAGGACGGAGGGAAGGGAGCAGGAGAGACCTCTCCCAACAGGCCGATGAACAGGACTCTCAGGTGAGTTCAGGTCTGGATGTTGCTCAGGTTGGTCCTGGATCAGTCCTGGATCGGTCCTGGGACCGATCCTATGTCAGACCTGAATCAGTCCTGGAATCGGTTCTGGATCATGAGATCGGTTCTGCACTATTATGGTATATGTCCTTGATCATCCTGGGGTTAACCTGAATCAGTCCTGGATTGGCTGTAGATCAGACCTGGAATCTGTCCTGGGATCGGACCTGGATCATCCTGGGATCTGTCCTGGGATTGGTCCTTGATCATCCTGGGATCGGACCTGCAACATCCTGTTGTTCAGTTCTTCATGTTGACTCAGGTCTTCCTCCTGAGTCCTTGTGGTCCTGCTGGTCCTGAACGTGTCCTTGTGTCTCACAGCAGGAAACAGTCTCAGCCTCCTGCTGGTCTRCTGGACTCCATCTCCAACATCTTCGGGTATGTGTCTGCTSGTCTCTTCAGGATCTACTTCAGCTCTTTGAAATTCTAATCTTTCTCAACTCTTGGTCTTCCTCAGCAGGCGTCGATCTACCAACTCCTTCAGCACGTCACCAGAGCCCACCGAGGCGCCGACAGGAGTGTGTGCAGAGGTCCGAGTGCCGTCCACAGCCCTGCATGTCTTTGTGAGTATTCAGTTGGTCCTCAGGTCCAGCACAGCTGCCGGTCTAACTGTGAGACCAGTTCCTCCACGGCTCTGAGGATTAGAGACGTCAGCTGGTCTGACCAGGTCTGTGTTTGTGTGGACAGGAAGCCCACGACGGGGAGGTGAACGCCGTGAGGTTCAGCCCTGGATCCCGCCTACTTGCAACGGGAGGGATGGACCGCAGGGTGAAGCTGTGGGAGGTGGTCGCAGGTGAGTGTTACACACACACACACACACACACACACACACACACACACACACACACCTTCCACTCTGATGAAGGTCAGTGATGAGGAGTAAAAGGTCTGATTTCCCACAATCCTCTGCTGCCTCTGGCTCCCAGCAGCTGCTCTCTGCTCCCATCATGC